CAGCTTCAGTTTAAACAACATGTAAAGTGGCATTACCTGCATGGTCCGCGGGTCAACCCGGTGGGTGACAACGCGCCGTTCATACACAGAGAGTTTAACATTTTTAGATTTATTTTGACCTGTCCTCGTTGTCTGAAAAACACAAAAGCAGAAACAAATCAAAGGCTCAGCCTGTGCTCTATGTCAGGATCATACTGTCCTCATCAGCAGGAGAAAGTTTTCTCAAATAAAACATTCAGGATGAAAGATGTATGTGTAGGTTCTCTGTCATCTGGGTCATGGCAATCTAAGAAGCTTGGAAAGAAAAGTAGCTGGAAGAGCAGTTGTGCCATAGTCTACAGGATGATAGTTAAAATGTGACCATAAAGAAAAGACAGAATTATAGTCGAGAATAAGCAATAAGCTTCTCCCGGATGGCCGAACTCCTCACCCCATCTCTAATGGAGAGGCCAGCCAGCCTTCGGAGAAAGCTCATTGTTGCTGCTTTTATCTGCAATTTCGTTCTTTTGGTCACTATCCAAAGCTCGTCACCATAGGTGAAGGTAGGGACGTAGATCGGCCAGTAAACTGAAAATTCTGTTATCACTACAGTCATAGCATCAATCCGACAAACTCTCAGTGCAGGACTCACTGCCTACGTCCTCACAAATTCTCCTACCCTCTTCCTTTACATCTGATGCGTTCATCGAGGTGAAAGAAAAAAGGTTAGGAAAAGGAAATGAAACAGATTTCGGGAACCTACAGATTTTTGGTTACATCCTGTTAGAAATGTTCATCCTACTGTAAAACCTGCCTAGCAGACCTGATTATGAGCAGCTTCAATCCATTCAGTTTGGGTATTTGTGCTCAAACTGATTTTTATGTGCATCTGCTGACTGTGGAAAATTATATCATTAATCTCTTGTCTTCTTTCTTGTTTGCACAAAAGCTTGTTCTGTATAGTTATTAATCAGGATGTTTTTAAAGTATAATTCTAAAAATGTCATTATCTTTACAAATGAAAAGAAAGGCAAAATTAATATATTCTCTGAAATTATCTGGTAATATCTGCACATCAGCAAATCTGAGATTAAACATGAGACAGAATCAGAATTAATCCACATTAAGATGAGACAAAAACAAACAAACATCTGAAGACAAAACCTGTTGCAATAAATCTTGATTCCCCTCCCACCTGCCTGTGAGGCTTCTCCTGCTGATTCCTTACCTGGTATAACTGGTATATGATGCCTAGGCTTAGGCCTAGGCCTACGCCTAGACCCTGGCCTAGACCTTGGCCTAGGCCGAGAAAAAGAGCGATGCCTCCAGCTCGCACAAAGCTCAGTCCCATTGTCACGTCACAGATTCTGAGACACAAACAGGTTTACACAGGGATTAATGTATAAAATGCTATCAAGAAGATGAATACAAACAGCAGGAGCATAACAACTCACCACCTCGCAACACTCTCTCACTCACTGCTTGTTATTACTGTGCGGAATACAAATGTTTTATAAAGGACAGAAGTCTAAAAAATGCCCAATCATCTAGAGTTTTAGAAAGTTCAGGAAGAAACTGAGACAATGCAAAAAGTCAAAAATATCTAAAGCTCGCTCAGAATTGGGGATGGGATGCTTGATACTGACATTTTGACACTGTGTTGAGCTGACAAAGTGCAAATTTTTCAAAACACTGGCTGCGTTCCAAACCTCCCTCTTGTCTCCTCTTCCTAACCTCTTTTCCTTGATCTTGATGGAAATGTCACTGAGGTCAAGTAAAGGCTGATGGGAAGATTGATACTAAGAAAAGAGAAGAGCAATGCTCTGAAATTTGGAACATCACTGACAATGTGATGCTGAATGTTGGATATGTTGAACTTACAATATGCAAAACATGGACTACAAAATCCATATCATACAAAATCCATATCTTTACTCCAGTGACTTCTAAAATGAGAATATCCTGTGAAAAATATATTTTATTAGAAAGGTTTGAATTTTAAAGTAATGTTTAGGTCCAGATTTAAATTATTTTGACATTAAAAGACTTTTAGATTTACTAAAGAGACACAGTGCCAGTTTTGTGACAGCAAGTTATGAACAGGAGAATTTTTGAGGCTGGTCTTATTGCATATCCTTTTGTAGGAGTTTCCCTTTCAGGAGGAGAATATTTAAATGAGTAGCACAAATGTGAAAGTCTATGGCACACAATTTACTGGAAATGTCATTAATTGAAAAATCATATCTTGTGCTTGTTGTGGTTGTGATAGATGCTACAAGGAGTTTTAATTTTTAGGAGGAGAGATGCAATCAGACGAAGTGTGTAATCGATAGTTTACGCGGATGGCTCAAAACTGTGGGGACATTACCAAAAACTCTTCTCTCCTCACACTGAGTGTTTAGAAGTGAGCCCCACCAATCGTTCCTCAAAAATAATGAGAATTTACTCAAATGGATCTCATATTAACTGAATATTAACTTAAGTTAATTCTCTAATTAACATATTAACTCCTTGGAGGGCATTTCTATTCGATTCAATTATTAAAGAGAGGCAATCTCCTGATCTCCCTCTGAAAAATTTGAACACGACAATAGCGCCAAGTCACAGTTGCCTCAAGTCGCCTGCTATTTTTGTGCAAAGCTAACTGAACAGTCTGACTTTTGGTTCTAATCATGAGCTTGAATCCGTTAAGTTGAAGATGAGCAGACGATAATAAAAATGAAATATCTCTTCTTCCTCCTACATTGGAAAGAAAGTGAAACATAATTAACCAGGATGACAACTGAGATCAAAATTGGGTTAAGAGATGAAAATCATCCCAGAAGTCCTTATAAATTCTCCTTAAATACAGTAACTAAGTACTTAAACCTCTGGCATTACAGAATGTTAACATCTGAGTAGCTCATGGTTGCGAGTAATTTTAACAATTACCGTAATAGTCTTTGTCACTTTGTTGCTGCTATTTTTCCTTTGGCATCGTTTGAAGAAAAAAAAAACACAACAGCCCTTCAATATCGTACTATGTGAATGGACAACAAAGATTGAAGAAACACTTCATTTATAGCTGGAAAAATGCAACATTTGGACAGACTTATGGGGAAAATCTTCATGAGATTCAGTCCTTACGATCCTCACATAATTAACGATTATTTTCAAACAACAAATTCACAAAGTATTGGCATTTTTATAACATTTCATTCCCTGTTAGAGACAGATTGCTATTCTGAAAGTGAAACTTTTACAAATACATACTCCATAAAGCTAAGACCTAGTTCAAACTAACTGTCAGTCACAAAACTGACACTGAATCTCTTCACTATAGCTAAACCAAGACAACAAGCTGTGGCGAAGTAACAGTGTAGTCAAACTTTAAGGTCGTTCTCAGGTTCTCCTCTTTTCCTAAGTCCATATCTATCCTCATCCACAAACAAAGTGAGTAGGAACATGAGACAGGAAGGACTTAAAAAAAAAAAAGTCAAACGCACAAAGACTTTAAATCAGCCAACGTGACATGTGTGTTTTGAATCACACCTGCGCTTCATAAACCCGCCACACAAGCATCCATTATCCACATACTCATACATACTGAATCAATATAAAAATATAATGTATAGGTTACCACTTCTTTAAACAAAATTTAAATATATTTTCTGTTTCATAAAAAATAAATAAATCTCACCTACAGAAGGACAACACGAAGAGGGCAACAAACAAGTCAGGTAGAGTAAAGCAGCAGAAATCGTTTTAGGAGAAATCACGTGGTGACAGAGCTGAGTTGCGGTGGTGCCAAACTGCATGGGAAGCGCCAACTTTCGTCTTATTTGCTGTTCGTGGTGAGAGGAGGAGGAGGAGACTAAATACAAAGCACAACAAACAACCAACATAAAACAGGGAAACAAAACAAAGAACACTTTTCAAAGTGACACGGACTCAACAACATAACACACGGGAGGAATAAAGTGAATCAAGGAATATAAACCAAGTATAACAATAGACAGAAACTAGATAGTAAAACTAAGTAAGTAAAAAAACTAAGAAAGCACGTGAATATAAACATAAACCAACCACAAAATATCTGCTGAAGGAAAAGAACGTCAAAATGGAAAAGAAAAATCCCAACCAAATCACGAGTCCGTGAAAGCTATATAATGGTTAAAAAAAAACCTCAAGCAAACAAAAAACAAAAAAAAATTAATGTCCAAATGTATTAATTTATTCTTCCTCTATAATAACTTGTTTGCGCTGATTTTCAGTTCAGCTTTCAGTCCATCATGACTCAACTCTTTCTCCCTCGGTAATAATCAATAATCATATGACCCAAAAAAAACTACCATGAACATATTGCAATGGAATATAGTGTGTGTGATAGAAATGAAAACTATTAAATGAATTTATTATTTTGTGCCCTTTTTAACTTTAGACAAAAAGCGCAGTTTTTCTGACAAAAAATGCCCCATTTTTAGAGATGGAAAAGGTTATTCTTAAAAACAGCTGCTTCTTAACAACAGAGAGCAGGATGGGGGAGATGGAGGCTGCACGCCCCGTTAAGCATTATTTCGTTTTATTTGCTTTTGATTAATCCGAAACAAGGAACATAGGAAGCACAGGTACACGCCACACCTCTGCATGAGTCGGTCGCACAGGAGCAAGAGTCCACGCGATAGTGTGTTTCGTCTCGCACATCAGCCAGTGTGGGTACAATGACAATCTCTCGAACTCCTCCCAGACCCGTCAATAAAATCATTAAGATATTTTTTGATAAACTGCCAAAGAGCCATTTTTACCCCCCAGTACAGACGCCTCTGCATTAGGATCTGATCCAGCAAACCTGAGGAGAGCAGCGGACGCAAATGATTGTGAAGAAGTGACAGATATATGATGGCAGGTCTTAGATAATCGTGAGTTATTGTGTCTGATTGTAAGATTGTAAAATTGTAAAAAACACAAAACTCTGGAAGAGGCGTACACGCACTGTGGAAAAGTAAAGGCGTGTTGCATTCTCTAAAACTGTTTTGTGAACAGTTGTCCAAGTATATATTCCTTTTAAAATGTGACACATGTAATATGATCATCAAAGAACGTGATTTTTATAAAACATGTATTCTTCTGTTTTGAAAGTGTCAGGTTTTCATAAAACATTTATTAGTGTAGCGGCAATCTTCGGTCCTTTGTCGCTTCTGCTGGACGTAAAGTTTCTGACTCGTGCTTGGCTGTAGGCCTTTCGGTAGCAAAAACGAGGTGAACGTAAAAAAGAAAAAAAGGAAAACGTTTATTTACTCCACACAAACCGAAAACTCCGAAACAAATGCCTCCAGTGGAGCTCCGTTTACATCTATTTTATGTCATAAACGATAAACAACTGTTGCTCCACCACATTGCGGCCTAACACTCGCTTTGTCAGTGAGAACGTGTTGATGACACCTACCACCACTTTACAACAACCCAATAGATTAAGAAAGCAGGACAAATTTAGAGCATGTGGACCATAGTATATTGTATTACAACATAAAATAATCAAGATTGTAACTAGAAACTCAGATTACAGATCATAACAAAATACTCAAATACGGTCCGATGTATTTGAGTAAAATATTGGCCTGGACTGTCTAAGCTCCAATAATTAGTATGTTGTAATTTGTTTAGACTGTGTGTAATTTTTATAGAAACCTTGTCCATTGTGTGTGTAATCATGAAAACATGTAAAACTCCACAGCAGTGATACTTGTTCTTACATAGGTGCATTTATTCTTTGTTGTGGTACTTTACTGTTCCAACGAAACACGATCTGATTTCTTTTCTTTTTATTTTTTGGTAAAGTCACTCTCACAGCACCGATTTTAGAGGAATGTTCAACAATTGTTCCAGACTGCCTTTTCTCCAGTGAGGGTTACGGTGAAACAACATTTAGGTTGTTATTTTCTGTGATTGCACACTGCCCATGAGAGGACCTCTCAGTAAGCTGTACACCAGACGTTTTAATTCAGTTGTATCTATATATCACCAAATTACAACAACAGTCACCTGGACGTGAAACTGTTAGTCACACAAATGGTGAACAGAAAGTAATTTTCCAATTGTGAAATCCACATTTTTCCAAACAGTTAACACAAAGGCCTAAACAGAGGCACTCATGCTCAAAGTGACACATTTTCTTTGCAAAAGGCTCTAATAATGCCAAAACATTTAAAATATGAAACAAAAGCAAATTCTGTTTTCAAACATCAGAACTTGTAAACAAGTGTATGAGCTTGTCCGATCAATCATTACACAAAACACAGTACTGAATCCGTGCACCACTGCTCATCATTGTAGCCCATTACACAGCCTTTGTCATTTGTTGTCTTTCTACATAGGCTGTGTCAAATTTGCTTTCTTGCAATAGGTTAGATCCAGAATCAGAAATAGTTTGATGCTAATTTTATTGAGTCAATGACTTTTTTCCAAACTGTGACTGAATATTGAAATACTGGAAATATTACAAAAAAATACATATAAACCAAAATAAAATCTATTACAGTATAAGAAATTGCCACTTTTGATACTCAATCGCTCACCTTAGACCTCCTCAACTGATGCTGGCAAAGAACTACACAAATGTGGCATCTTTGAAGGCTTGCAGACTGATTGTGAAATGAACGTTTGTGGTAAGGACTTCAAAAACAGGTGATTTATTGATTTCATACTGATATTGGTAGCTTCTAATAGTTAGAAATAGGTGATTTCTGTTTGGTTACCACAGCTAAAACAATGGGGTTTGGTCAAGCCAATGAGAAAGGGTTAACACATTTCCAAGCAGTGTCTCCTGCTCTTCTCAGATAGTGATGATGAAAACTGAGGAGATCTTTGTAGGCAGGTCAAAGCAATTAAGAAAAACTGTAACGTCATGATGCATGCTCAATCATCCAGGTAAGTAAATCTCCAAAAGTTGATTCTGTTCATCTGGACGTAGCGTTTTCAGTGGGAGAAACATTTTGTCACTCATCCAAGTGACTTCTTCAGTCTCAGCTGACTGCAGGTTTAACCTTATAAACAGTACATTTGCATAATGACTGAAACCACCACACTGAAGGAACAATGGGCTGGGAGGTCAGACTGAAGAGGGTCACTTGGATGAGTGACGAAACGTTTCTCCCACTGAAAACGTTACGTCCAGATGAACAGAATCAACTTTTGGAGAAGAAAAACTGTAACTCTTGCAGAGTTACACTCAAAGGGTCTGATCATGTCATTAGAAACGTGTGTTCATATATGAATGTGTGTAAAGGAACACACCATCCTGTATAAATAAAATTATATTGACTACATTGAATTGAACATTGAACAACCATCCTGAGAAATGCCAAGTATTTAATTACTGGCTCTTGTTCTACTTTTCTAGTTAACTTTGGCTGTGCATGAAACAAGCAGGTGCTCATTGCATTTTAGTCTATAAAACAACTTTTGTCAGACTGAATTCCATCTATTGTACTGCTGTGTCAACAGATTCATTACTGCGGCTGTGGATTATGTGCCACTGACATGAGTGTCATGTTACTCCATACAGAACCCCATTAAAACAAAATAATAGAAAAATAAAAAACCAAATTATCTTTAAATGTCTGACTTGTGCCATTGAAACCTTTGTTTAGTTAGTTAACCCGTGTCAGTTTCTAAAAATATCATTTGTGCAGGAATAGAAAGGTGAACCATGAGTCCTGCTTTCTTATCTAAAAATGTCCTGAAATAACATGTTGACCTTTTTTTTGGTGAACATGATGAATGTAACATGATTTGGCTTCCATGCTAAAGACTGAAGTTACTGGAGAAAAGACTGTTTTTATGCTATTTTTACGAGCATAGGGTATGTTTTTACCCTATGCTCGATTAGGGCTGTCACAATGGCAGGTTTTCATGACATTACTGTAACCAAATGAGA